ATATATATATGTATGCATGTAATTCCAACGACCGTGACGTCGGCACAATCTGTAGATCAGTAGATCGGTGGGACACACGCGCACACACTGCACATAGCAAACGCACACATAATATTATATATATATATATAAATTTTTATGAGTTATTGCCCGACCTCCCAACCTCCCCGCCAACCCACCATAGTATCACGATGCACACGGTCATGCCGACTATGTCTTCCTCTCGTATTATATGCGCTCGTCGCCGTCTGTGTATATAATATGTGTATAATAATATTGTATACGTATGACGACAACGACGACGACGACGACAATGACGACATCATCATATAATCTGTATGCCAGCTGAGCCGAGAAACTCGCGTGAGACTCGTACTATATATATATATATATATATATATATATATATATGTGTGTGTACATACATATAATATGACAGTTACGTAGCTGTTTGTAGTCGAATAATATAACAATAAGAGCGACTGCGTGAGCATTTATTAGTACATATATATCGTTAATTCGTGGGAATGTATACAGCGTATTCGCGGGAGGCTGAGCCAATCGGTCAAAAYGACTATACATCTCTCGGAAGACGAAATTAATATGGAAGCATAGTAGATATTATGTTAACGCGAAATAAACTTTTGTAATCTTGTTGTACCTTTACAGGCGAGATTCCATTAAAAAAAAACACGTTTACACCGATAAATCGATAATGCAGGAGGCACGAACATTATATTTTAATTATAGTTATTTATATAGGTATTATATACATATAACACAACAATAGTGGACTGAAGGTTTAAGCCAAAAAACGTTTTTTTCTATCTCTATTCAGTTTTTGTGTAATGGTTGGTAATATTTATTATGCGCGAAGAAGTCGTTTGTATAATATTTAGGTCAGCGATTTTTTATTTTTTTGAAAACTTATTATTTTCGTGCATTGCAGACAAAGTCAATGTTTTAAAAATATGCAAAAAAACGAGGTGCATCGCACCGAAAATAATATTTCGTTTTTTCATTCGAGTAAGAGAACGCGTTCTATCATAATAATATTATATATAGGTACCGAGTACCGATGTTTGCCAGAAAAAAAAGTTATAAAAACCTCCGTTGGTCCGACAAGCGGCTACAGTGATCTCCCTGGACCACAGTGGAGGTGGCTTGCCGCACCTTCAAACTTTCGCCCCGCGTAACTTTGACGGATAGACGCGTTTCTTTTGATGTGTTTTACTGAGACKAAACAATAAATGGGGGAACAAAAACAATTAGGAATTTAAAGAAATTAATCACGACGCAGTCGCTCAAAATGTTATTATATAAACGCCCGTGTACCTATACTTAAACACTGCATACTATAGCGTAGCACATACGCATACTTAACCCAACCTAACAAGGTTCAAAGTTATTCGTCAATATTCCCACATACTATATCATATTGTTATTAGGTACTGTAATTCTAAATATTGTTCATCCCTATTATACAGTGAAAATTTTTGGTTTTAAAACGAATTTAGTATATTCGTATATAATTTCAATATTTTTAATGAGAAACGAGGAGTAATTAAGTAATAATAAGTAATTAAAAAATCATGATTTTTTTTTTTAACTTCATTTTTCAATTGTTCGACTCATACAATTAATAATCTACAACAAACCATATAGTCGACCACAATAAAATAACTGGTGTGACATAGTAATATAAATATATAATATACGTCATTCGTGACGAATATTCTGAACTACATATATTACGAGATAAATGAAACGAAAGAATAATTGATAACGTGTCAAATACGCRGRTTCTGCTATCTATAGTTCATGCAATTGTCACTGCATCGCATTATTGCAGTCATGCTGTTATAGGTACTACAACTGTCTGGTATAGAGTATAATTTATATTTGTTTATGAGGTATATATAATACGCTTTACGAGCTTTAAAATGTCGGGCCGCGCTTTAACTCGGACTAATTGGCGACGAGCTGCTGGCTTCCATTATAGTGGGAAAATATTTATTATATAAGATCGCTAATTTTATAATATGAGACTCGCTAAAATCCAAGCCTGCGAAATTGACGAATCAGTTGACGCTTGAAAATTTAAAAAATACGCATCAGACATTGTCATCTGCATTTAAAGCCTGTTTTATGTAGGATTTAAAAAATATTAATAATAATAACAATTAACTTTTTACGTCCCGAGCAAATCTGGATGTTGGACGTACAGTTTAACCGTTAAATATGTTATTAGCGGTTTCATAATTATTATTATGGTATTATATTATAACACTGCAG